CAAGTTGGGAGGTGGCCTGAGGAGTGGAGAGGAGGAAGTGAGGGCGCTGTCCACATAGCTCCTGAGCTCACAGCAAACTGCAGGGAGACGGCAAGACATGAATGCTCATAACTGAAGAGATTTAAGAGGAGATAAGAGGCCAAGCCAGTAACAATGAAAGGAGACACAAAAAGCCAATTAAACAACCACGACAAACACGTGACCTCACACACCAACACCAGCAGAAAGGTGGAGAGGGCGCGTCTCTGCTTTTCCACTGGCCAAGAGGCCAGAAAGCTGCACAGTCTGGGTGCAGGGGGCGCCGCACAGTGCCGTCTCCTTGCTGGCTGGTCCCAGGGAGCGGGGACACAGTAGGAATCGGGGCTGCTTCGAGGAGACGACGGGAACGTGTAAATGATAAAGCTGAGTTGATATTTGGGCTCTAATCCTGCATTAACTGGTTGTACATTTCAACCAGCTCTAGCTGAGCCTTTAAAAGGTGTCATACGTTTGTTTCCATGACCAGCAGGCCCTTACAGATAGGGCAGTGGTTCTCAACCTGTGGGTCGAGACCCCTTTGGGGGTCGAACGACCCTGTCACAGGGGTCGCCTAAGACCATCGGAAAACACATAGATAATTACATATTGTTTTTGTGATGAATCACTATGCTTTAATTATGTTCAATTCGTAACAATGAAAATACATCCTGCATATCAGATATTTACATGACGATTCATAACAGTAGCAACATTACAGTGATGAAGTAGCAACGAAAATAATTTTATGGTTGGGGGTCACCACCACATGAGGAACTGTATTAAAGGGTCGCGGCATTAGGAAGGTTGAGAACCACTGAGATAGGGTGTTAGCACTGCAGTCATTACGCTCGCTCAGCTGCTTTCCCATGATCAGGGAGGCAAGTGCAGAGGAAGTAGGCGAGGGTTCGCTCCCCAACATTAATGTGGATGCAAAACCCTCTCCCTCTTTCTTTTTTAGTATTTTTTTTTATTGATTTTAAAGAGAAAGGAAGGGAAAGGGAAGAGAGAGAGGAACATCGATGGGAGAGAGAAACACCAATCAGCTGCCTCCTGCACCCACCCCGACCTGGGATCCAGCCCACAACCCAGGCACGTGCCTGACGGGGAACCAGCCACCTCTTGGTGCAGGGACGATGCTCAACCACTGAGGCACACGGGCCAGCTTTCAGGGAATCTTACTTTTGTCTTCAGCCCGGTTAAAAAATTGTTCTCGGTATTCACTCAGCTCCTCTCTCTTCTGCTTCTCCTCAGGGTCACGTTGCCTGGCAGTGGCAGCCCTGAAGAGTCATTCACGACTTCCTCCCACGCCCAGGCCATGGGCCACTGGAGGTCATGGGGCACCGGACAACCCCACCCCAATAGGAAGGACAGCAGTCACATCCATCGGTGCCTGACGGGTGAGAGGCAACATGCCATCCCGGCCCTGCCGCCCGGTCTGGGGAGACGAGGGGACACAGAAGCATGACCCAGCCCCCGGGGCCCCCCACACTGAGTGGCAGCCCATTGGACGCCATCCAGCCCCTGCACACACACATTTCTTGTTAGCAGTCGCTGACACATGCTCGGCTTTGTTTGGCCACCAGGCCGGCTCAGGGCCCAGGGCACGTGAGGGGTCACCTGACAGCGAGGCCGGGCGCTGGGGGCGCCCCGAGTCCTGCCGCAGGAAGGCTGGAGGAGCCCCTGCTCCGGCCCAAACCTCTCCTTCTGCAGGCGGCGCTTCAGAGCCCGGGCTGGTCAGCGCCCACGACGCAGTGAAGCAGAGCGGGGCTTCCCGTTCCCCTGAGGCCCCTGCGCCCCAGGGACACCCACCGCATGAAGACCTTCAAGAGCAAGCGCTGCCCACCGCCGCTGGCTGCCCCGAGGTCCACCCGCGCTCCGCGCCTTCACCTTTACAGAGCCTTGTCCCCACGGAAGAGTCATCTTGGACTTTGGCAGCTGTCAGACCAAAGTCGGCAACAAGCAAATGACGTCTCTTCTCCGCGATCAGCGGTTTGTCTTGTTTGGAGCCAAAGCCGCGTCCAGTTCTGTGAAGCTGCTTCTCGCGGGGCTGCCAGAGGCGCGGACAGCCCGCTGCTCCTGGCCCTGGGCCCGCTGCTCAGGCGTGAGGTCCCCGCGCTGAGACGGTTCAGTGAGGTGCACGTGTGACGCCCAGAGGGCAGAACCTCGACACGTGGCCATTCCTTTTTCTTAATTTGTTTTTATTGATTTTTGAGGGAGAGGCAGGGAGAGGGAGAAACATTGATGAGAGAGAGACGTGGGTCGGCTGCCTCCCGCACGCCCCCTGCTGGGGATCGAGCTGCAGCCCAGGCGTGTGGTCTGCCCGGAATGGAACTGTGACCTCTTGGTTCCTGGGTTGCGCTCAACCCTGAGCCACCCCTGCGGGGCCCTCCATGACCTTTCTCTCCTCCCCGACCCCAGCCATGGAAGCACTCGGCTCAGAACTGCTTCCAGGGGCACCTCTGTCCTGAGCCTCAGACCCTCCCCCAGCGGCCTGATGAGTGTCTTCATGGGGAGAAGGCGACCCGAAGGGACAGGCCTGTTGGCTCAGCGCCGCCCACGCCCTGGCGTCCTCTGGGGAGTCGCCGCGCCCCGTGTGGTGACGGTGGCCTCATGGTTATCTCCGATGGCCCTGTCCCTCCTGCTCCTCCTCCCCACCCGCCCTGTGATGTTCTCTCTTCTGGCGCTGCTCTGCCCGGGGCCAGGCCCCACCCCATCCCTCTGGGCTGACTGCAGGAAGATCCCTTCTTCAGCTTCTGCTTCTGCACAAACTCAGCTCCTGGGGGAACGTCGAGGCCCTTGGTCCCCTGGCCCTGCCTCTCTCCTCTCTCCTCTCTCCCTCACGTGCCCGCTCTTGGTGTTCATGCCCATAAGCCCAGGCCACGCTTCCTGCTCCCTCGCCTCGCCCAGCCTTTGAGACGGCTGCCATCTCCCCCAGGGTCCTCGCCCTCTGCCCGGGAGAGGGGCTGGGCCCGCCCGTATTAACGCCGTATCGATGTACATGGCGTTACATCGGTTGTGTTTATACGTCCATTCCCTGTAGCTGGTGAGGACGGGGTCTTCCTGGCGTGGCCTGGGCTCTGCAAACGCTGAGTGACCATGACAGCTGCGTCCCCTGTGCCAGGCACACGCAGCTGCTTCCACTCCCCACTCACAGCAGCTTCGTGCAGGCTCCGCCCTGTCCGTGGGCTCATGTATTATAAACACACGCAAGAAGCGTTCAACTCGCCGTGAGATCACTGCCTCGCTCCTGTGCAGGTCTTTCCCAGCCTTCGCTCCTGTGCAGGCGCAGCTTTAACTATAATCACGGTCTGTAGAAAGTTCCACCATCTTTTACTTCACACCCTTAACGGATTTCCTTATCAGACGTGTCATAATGGCCTTCTCGGTGGTTTCCAGACAACCCCGTCTGTGCACAGCCTGGCTCACGCCTGCCTGCTCGATAGCGCTTCTCTCTGCGGCCCAGTCCCCAGTCCCACACGCGTCCCCTCACTCCGCACTCTGTACCAGATGCCCCCCTCCTCCACCCCTTACACACGGGGCATTGGGCCCTTAGGGGCAAGTCATTCCTCAGGAGGTGGCAGCAGCCCCGGGCGGCGAGCCTGTGCAGACCGCATCGCTCCGGTCTGCGTTACACAACCTGGAGCAGCGGCAGCAGCCCAGGGCGGGCGAGCCTGTGCAGACCACATCGCTCCGGTCTGCGTTACACAACCTGGAGCAGCCCTTCCTCCGGGCGCTGCCCCCACAGTCCCTCCGAATGCATTAGCGCGGGGCTCACGTCCACGTCAGCATCATGGGTTAAAACCTTAAGAAATGTTTCACAGCTTTAAGCAATGCCAGCTTTCCCTGGTGAGCGTCACCCCTGAAGTCCGAGCTCTCCGGGCGCTGCCCCCACAGTCCCTCCGAGCGCAGGGCTCACGTCCACGTCAGCATCATTGGTTTAAAACCTTAAGAAATGTTTTGCAAGTCTCACAGCTTTAAGCAATGCCAGCTTTCCCTGGTGAGCGTCACCCCTGAAGTCCGAGCTCTTCCTCTTTGTATCATTTGCGGGGTTTTGTGTGAGAGCCGTGCCGCTGCGCTGACTGTGTAGCCTGGCCTTGGTATCCGTCGTTTCTTCTAGGATCTCAAGGCTTCAAATCTGTTTTTTAAAAAACATTTTTATTGATTTCAGAGAGGAAGGGAGAGGGAGAGAGAGATAGAAACATCAGTGATGAGAGAGAATCATGGATCGGCTGCCTCCTGTACACCCCACCCTGGGGATCGAGCCCGCAACCTGGGCATGCGCCCTTGACTGGAATTGAACCTGGGACCCTTCAGTCCACAGGCCGAGGCTCTAGCCACTGAGCCAAAGTGGCTAGGGCAACACTCAATTCTTTTCTTCCTGCTCATTGCCCTCTCATTCTATATTTAACATTTCTTTTAGTTCATCTTTTATCTGCGGTGTAAGGTGTTTAAGATGATTAGCAAGTTGCCACCCTCTCATGCCATTTATTAAATGTTTTCCATTGTTTTTGTTAACTTAAACATAAAAGGCAAAATAAATAAATAAATAAATGGCCAAAGGGAAAGGCAATAGCATTTATTTGAGATTAAAAAAAACACACACACACACAACAAAAAACAAACAAATGAGCTATTCCGGAAGCACGGATTCAGGCAGAAGCCGTGTTCTGAGGAGGTGGTGGTGGTGGTG